CAACCCATGGCCATTAAAGTTTAATCAGACTGCCCTATAACTGTGTAGTGTTAAAGGTCTCCTGTTCTGTAAGGTATAAAGGTTTTATTCTGTGGGTTGTGTGAATTCCCACTGAACATCTAGGATTCCTAAACCTAAATCCTGCCTATAGCATTCCACTGATATTATGGGAAATACATAAATGCAGATTTTTCATCTGACAGTTATTTTAACTGTATTAAAGTCATCCAAATATTTTCACTAATGAAATGTTATTAGAAAGGATTTTTGGTTATTGCAATGTATTTTCCCAAAGTTTTTAGGGAAACCATTCTATTATGCCGGTGGGGGGAAACAGCTCTGTGGTGTCGCCCTCCCTCCCTCCCTTCCTCTCTCCTCATAATGTGCAGCTTTTATCTGTGACACGACGTCATCACACATCATGCGTTCCCTTGCCCAGCTCCACATTGGCTGCCGCTGGCAGAAGGCAGGGAAATGAATGGGGAGACAATGTGGGTACTGTACATGAGAGTCAGGTGTGTGCACCGGATTCATAGGTAATGTTATACCCTCATTTAGCTCAAATACTGGATGTGGCAATGAAATGACCATTTTGCATACCGGAAAGTGTTTGGTTTGTCATATGAACTGGATGAAAACATTGCTTGATCATACTCAAGCGGCAGCTAGACTTCTTCTCTTTCTTTGCTTAGGCTATAACAGGCAGGGCAAACTACCGGCCTACCGGCTGTTAGGAATTGTGGAAGTTGAAGTCCAAAACACCTGGAGGGCCGAAGTTTGCCCATACCTGGCTGTAATAATTGTCATACAAGTGATTCAGGGTGCAACTTCAGTTAGAATGAATGCAGCTTGACTCCATTTTGACTGCCAATGGCTCAATGCCACAGAACCCTGAGATCTGCAGTTTTGCAAGGCCTTCAGCCAAAGAAAACTGGTGTCTCAACAAACTGATCCCACAGCATTGAGCCATTGGCAATTAAAGTGGTGTTAAGCTGCATTTAAGCCTACAGTGTAGATGTACCCTCTGTCCTAAGAAGCCCTATCGCAGAGTGCATCTACACCAGGCAAGGGCAAACTTTGGCCTTTCAGGTGTTTTGGACTTCAACTTCCACAATTCCTTGCCTCAGTGGCTGAGGGAAAAAGGAAAGGGCTGAGGCCAGGAATTGTGGGAGCTGAAGTCCAAAACACCTGGAGGGCCAAAGTCTGCCCATGCCTTATCTACACCACTTTCACTGCAATGGCTCAATGCCACAGAATCCATGGGAGTTGTAGTTTTGGAAGCTCTTTAGTCTTCCCTGCCAAAGGGTGCTGCTGCCTCACCAAACTACAAATCCCAGGATTCCACAGCATTAACCAGTGGTATCATACTGCATAAATTCTACAGTGTGCACGCACCCGATGGCACAACTGGAAAAACACAGACTTGAGGTAAAAGATGGTGACTCAGGCCCCTTCCACGCAGCTGATTAAAATCCCACATTATCTGCTTTGAACTGGATTATCTGCCAGTGTGGACTCAAATATTCCAGTTCAAAGCCAACACTGTGGATTTTCTGCCTTGATATTCTGAGTTGTTATATGGCTATGTCGAAGGGATCATATAACTCAGTATCTGCTTTTGAGCCCACACTACCAGATAATCCATTTCAGTGTATTGTCTAGGGGCCCTTCCACACAGCCCTATATCCCAGAAGATCAAGGCAGAAAATCCCACAATATCGGCTTTGAACTGGGTTGTCAGAGTCCACACTCAGATAATGTGGGATTTCCTGCCCTGATATTCTGGCATATAGGGCTGCGTGAAAGGGCTTTCACGGCTGGAATCACTAGGTTGTTGTGAGTTTTCTGGGTTTGTCTGGTCATGTTCCAGAAGCATTCTCTCCTGACGTTTCGCATGCATCTAAGCCCCGAAAATTCTCACAACCTCTGAGGATGCCTGCCATAGATGCAGGCGAAACGTCAGGAGAGAATGCTTCTGGAACATGGCCAGACAGCCCAGAAAACTCACAACCAATCCAGTTCAATGTGATTTGTACACAGCTGTGTGGATGGGGCCTCATAGCCTCCCTTTCCTCAGTTTCAAATTCCCACAACTCTTTATGAGGGAATTAATGACCATTGGGGACAAAGAAACCGGTTTGACCCCCTTCTGTGAAGATGAGCCTCCCGCCTCAATTCTGAAACGGCCTGAGGGCACTCCAGGCTGCCATTGAAAAAGGCGTGGGAAGGGCCACTCCAAAAGGGATGCATTGGGCCAGAATGACCCCCCCCCTTTCCCTGTCCGTGGTAGCACCTCATTCGCGCTCCCCTCCCCCCTCATTTTGAGCGCAGTGGTTCAGTCCCATTCGGTTGGAGCAGCCAGCAGAGGGCGCCCTGGTGCTGGTCAGAGGGGCGGCCGAGCATGAGGTAATGGTGGCGAGAGGGGGGGGGGAGAGAAAGAGTGAGCGAGAGAGACGAGGAGGGAGCTCGCGCCGCGTTCCCTGGGAGCTCGCGCCGCAGCGAACTCGGACAGCTCACGCTGTTGTAACGCCTCCCCTTCCGAGGAAGTTATAGCGGATTGCAATAGGAAAGCTTGAAGTCTCCGGCCCGTGCAATGGCCGGTGGTTTCTCCGCTTTGGAAAGGGGCCAGCTCGCCGGGCGGAAGGTTGCATTGCTCTCGTTGTGCGGAGAAACCCCCGCTCACCCGGACTCCTCGTAGAAAGGCGGCGTGTGCGTGTGTGTGTGCGTGTCAGAGGAATCAACAGGGAGGTGGAGCCGGAGCTCTTGCTGCATCCAGCAGCCAGGGAAGAGGAGGAGGGGGAGACGAAGAAGACGAGGGAAGGAAACTAGAGCATGAAATCCCGAGAAGGGTTGACTCGAGAGGAGGATCCCTGCTCGTGCAAACTGCAGAGAGGCACCAAACGCGAGAAAGAGGAGGAGATGCAACTGGTGTAATTGAGAGAAATTCCCCTCGGAGGCACTTTTTGGCCGAGCCAATGACAGAACCTGCTTTTCCAGCTCGCTGAGTGGATGGCTCCTTGTTATTTTTTAAATGCACCCTTGTTGTTTGTTTAAATGCAGACACACGGGCGTGTGTGGTGAGAGGAAAGCGTGGAAAGAGGCATTTAAACCTGTCTCCATTTTGCACGAGGCAGGGATTTGGGTGCAGGGGAGACTTCGACAGGAGAGCCGCGAGGGCAGGCTGGAGGGGACCCAAAGAGCAGCAGTGACGTTGCAAAGTTGAAAGGCGGCGGAGGAGAGAGAAGAAGAAGAAGAAAGAGGAGAGGCTCCTTGCTTGCTCCCCTTGGGACGGCGAGGATGCTGCTGGCCTCGGCGGTGGTGGTGTGGGAATGGCTGAACGAGCACGGGCGCTGGCGACCCTACAGCCCGGCCGTCAGCCACCACATCGAGGCCGTGGTGCGCGCGGGGCCCCGGAACGGCGGCGGAAGCGTGGTCCTGGGCCAAGTGGACAGCCGCCTCGCGCCCTACATCATCGACCTGCAGTCCATGCACCAGTTCCGCCAGGACACCGGTGAGTCAGGCAAGCAGGCAGGCAGGGAGGGAGGGAGGGAGGGAGGCAGAGAGGGGGCAGCTTGGCACCGCTTCTCACCCACTGCCCTGGCTCAGGTGCAGCATCACTGCAGGTTGGCACCCCTTGAACTGCCATGGCTCAGGGCTGTATGGGAATTGGAGTGTGGTGAGAGGGACATCACAAAGGCGAAGGGCGTTGTGGCAGTTCAAGGGGTCTCACACTGCCATGGCTGTTGGATCCAGGCCATGGTGCATCCACTCTGGGGGATGAATGCCGTTTGGCACCCCTTTCCCTGCTATCGCTCGATGCGGTGGGGTCCTGGGAGTTGTAGTTTGACAGTCTTGTGCCTTCCCCGCCAAAAAGTGCTGTCCCTTCCAACTCCCATGATTCTGTTATCAGTTTTGGACCGCTTTAGCCGCCAATGGTCAATGCTATGGAGTCCTGGGAGTTGTGGTTTGACAAGGTCTTGTGCCTTCCCGGCCAAAGAGTGCTGTCCCTTCCAACTCCCACGATTCTATAGGCAATTTTGGACCGCTTTAGCTGCCAATGCTCAATGCTATGGAATCCTGGGAGTTGTAGTTTTGCAAGGTCTTGAGCTTTCCCCACAAAAGAGCATTGTCTCTTCCAGCTCCGTGATTCCATTATCAATTTGGCACGACTCTCATGGCTCAATTTATGTTATGGAATCCCAGGAGTTGTAGTTTTGCAAGGTCTTGAGCCTTCTCCACCGAAGAGCATTGTCTCTTCCATCTCCGTGATTCTATTACTAATTTGACACAACACTAACAGCTCAATTATATGGAATCCTGGGTGTTGTAGTTTTACAAGGTCTTAAGCCTTCCCCACCACAATTTGGCATGATTCTCATGGCTCTATGCTATGGAATCCTGTAGCTTTGCAAGGTCTTGAGCCTTCCCCGCTAGAGAGTGTTGTCTTTCCCATCTCCTTGGTTCTATTACCAGTTTGGCGCGACTCTTAACTGCTCAATGCTATGGAATCCTGGGAGTTGTAGTTTTGCAAGTTCTTGAGCCTTTTCCACTGAAGAGCACTGTTTCTTCCAGCTCCGTGATTCTGTTACCAGTTTGGCATGACTCTCATGGCTCAATGCTATGGAGTCCTGGGAGTTGTAGTTTGACAAGGTCTTGTTCCTTCCCCGCCAAAGAGTGTTGTCCCTTCCAACTCCCACGATTCTATAGGCAATATTGGACCGCTTTAGCTGCCAATGCTCAATGCTATGGAATCTTGGGAGTTGTAGTTGTACAAGGCCTTGTGTCTTCCCGGTCAAAGAGTGCTGTCCCTTCCAACTCCCATGATTCTATTGGCAATTTTGGACCGCTTTAGCTGCCAATGGTCAATGCTGTGGAATCCTGGGAGTTGTAGTTTGACAAGGTCTTGTGCCTTCCCCGCCAAAGAGTGTTGTCTCTTCCAGCTCCGTGATTCTATTACTAATTTGGCATGACACCCACAGCTCAATGCTATGGAATCCTGGGAGTTGTAGTTTTACAAGGTCTTCAGCCTTCCCCCCCACAATTTGACATGATTGTCATGACTCAGTGCTATAAAATCCTGTAGTTTGACAAGGTCTCATGCCTTCCCCAACAAAGACTGCTGTCCCTTCCAACTCCCATTATTCTATTATCAATTTGGACCTCTTTAGCTGCCAATGGTCAATGATATGGAATCCTAGGAGTTGTAGTTTTGCAAGGTCTTGAGCCTTCCCCGCCAAAGAGCATTGTCTCTTCCAGCTCCGTGATTCTATTACCAATTTGGCACGACTCTCATGGCTCAGTGTTATGGAATCCTGGGAGTTGTAGTTTTACAAGGTCTTTGGCCTTCCGCACCACAATTTGGCACAACTCTCATGGCTCAATGCTATGGAATCCTGTAGTTTTGCAAGGTCTTGAGCCTTCCCCGCTAAAGAGTGATGTCTTTCCCAGCTCCTTGGTTCTATTACCAGTTTGGCACAACTCTCATGGCTTAATAGTATGGAATCCTGGGAGTTGTAGTTTTGCAAGATCTTGAGCCTTCCTCACCGAAGAGCGTTGTTTCTTCCAGCTCCGTGATTCTATTACCAATTTGGCACGACTCTTAACTGCTCAATGTTATGGAATCCTGGGAGTTGTAGTTTTGCATGGTCTTGAGCCTTTTTCACTGAAGAGTGCTGTCTTTTCCAGCTCCGTGATTCTGTTACCGGTTTGGCACGACTCTCACAGGTCAATACTATGAAACCCTGGGAGTTGTAGTTTTACAAGGTCTTGAGCCTTCCCCGCTGAAGAGTATTGTTTCTTCCGGCTCCGTGAATTAATTACCAGTTTAACATGACTCTCACAGCTCAATGGTATGAAACCCTGGAAGTTGTAGTTTTGCAAAGCCTTTAGTCTTCTCTGCAAAGAGTGTCAATGTCTCACCAAACTACAACTCCCAGAGTCCTATAGCACTGAGGTATGGCTGTTCAAGGGGCTATCAAGCTGCAATATTTCCATAATGTAGACACACCCTACTATTTAAGTAGAGACAGGAGGTCCAGATTCTGTTTCTGGCACTAGACGAGCGCTTTGTAATAACTTTATAGTGGGAGTTGAAGTCCAAAACACCTGGAGGGCCAAAGTTTGCCCAGGCCTGATTTACATTATGGAAACAATGCAGCTTGCCAGCCTCTTGAATAGCCATACATAGGGCAGGGCTAGGCAAATCTCACTCTCCAGCCCTGCCCTATGTGGCAATGCTTCAAAAGTGCCTACATCTGCAACCTATATAATGAAGCCTAGAGAAAACTTTGTCCTTCTAATGACACTCAGTTCTCATCAACTCCAAGGAGCCTGACTAATTGTGAAGGGATGCAGCACCCTGAAATTGAGATGGAGGCATCTTTGGGGATTCACTGCAACAGAGTATGTGTGTGTGTCGTGTGATGTGTGCCTGGGTTCCACAGAGCTCCAGAGCCCAGCATGCCCTATTTCCATTGCCTTCTTTCCCTGCCCTCTAACATGCCCAAATTGGGATGTTGGTGTTTACTTGGAAGCAAACTCCATTGGAGTCATTGCAACAACTTTTTGAATTAACATGCATTGGCTGCTGGGCTCTTTTCTAACATCAGAAGAGAAGCATAGATTCCTCTGTATGTGTGCATAAAAAGAGTGATATGAACAAAGATATTAATATGGAATCTAAAGAAACTTTGCTCTTTAGGGTTGTATGTATGAGATAAATTATCGGGCCAAGTGCAAGCAACACGTCAAGCCAGTGATTCACAACAGTGATTCCCCAGGAAAATGTGGAAGAGTAATACATAAATGGCTGCAAAATCTTACTATACTGAACTTTAACTAACATGGGGTGCATCTACACTATAGAATTAATGCAGTTTGACATCACTTTAGCTTCCATGGTTCAGTTCTGTGGAATCATGAAGGTTGTAATACTTCAAGGCCTTAAGTGTTCTCTGCCAAAGAGTGCTCGCAGCTCACTAAATACAAATTCCAGGATTCAATAGCATTCAGCCATTGCAGTTAAAGTGGTGCCAAACTGCATTAATTCTACTGTGTAGATGCACTTGGAACAAATTGTCCTTCTAAGCCATGGAAAACGTCCCACCAGATTAGAGATCCCATAGGATCCACCTTGTATGGTTAGTGGTCAGGAATAATGGGAATTGTAGTCCAGCAGCATCTGAATGGCAGCAGGTTCCCACTGTTGCTCTATAAACTATAAATATAAATAGGGAGATTATAGTTAAGAAGTTATTAAGGAGTAACAAAAACTTTAGGTTACGTATCCACTGTGAGAGTTGTAATCCCCAGACTCTTCCAAGGAAAAGTATGCCTACTTTTGTGGCTAGGTGTGAATGACTAGTTCTTCCAAAATAAGTATGAGTAGACATTAGTTACATGTGATTGTTAATGCACAGAAATGTTCCACTGAGAAGAAGAAAAAGATTGTTGGCCAGGAAAAAACAACATAGGGGTGAAACAGTAGTGGTATTGAGTGGGAAACTGCATAATGAAGTCTTCCCGATTATTAGAATCTGTGATTTAAGATCCAGAGACATTGACAGATGTGTAGGTGGCACTCCAGGGTTGCTGGAGTCCTCCCACCTCTGCCTTCATTTCCTTCTCTGGTGATCTACTGATGGCTGAAAGCCTCTCCATAAAACATTTTTGTGAAATACCTTTGGTGAATTAATTGCAGTCATATGATTGAAAAACCCCCAGCAACAAATCAAATGTAGGTGGGGAGCTGTCTTTGCTGACAAGACAAAAATACCCAGGGAAAGCCATCAGCCTCCTTGGCTGGGAATCCCTCCTTGCTCTGACTGGTGAGCTCACTTCAAGAAGAAGTAAAGCTATTGGATCAGGAGATTAGCTGGGAGGAGATAACAGGTGAATCAGGCCACCAGCGTGCATAAGAATGAAATTCTTCCTGGTGTGGTGCCGCAGACTGCATACTTGATGGACTGAAACTGGGTGAGGGGGGAAGAGATGGAAGAAGGGGAATCGAAACCAAGATCGGAGAAAGCAGAGGAAGCATTTCAGGAGGATATCAATCTGACCAAGGCAGAAAGAGCTGATAAAACAAAGAATAGATATGGGAACCTTTCAACTTCTTTCGTGGTAAAGCTCATTTGTAAGGTTTTCAGCAGGCAAACATTGCGAGAGATGTAAGGCCAGCCTTCCACCTTTTGACGCCTCATGCAAAATCTGAAAATGTTACTAATCACACGAAAGGAAGCAATACAAATGCAACTCTGTGGTCATTTAATCCTAACGTTCCAGGTCCCAAGCTAATCTGGAATCCGGTCTGTAGTTTTGAGTTTATTTGTTCCATCTCCTCTCAGACAACATTTTACCCACCATGGATTTTCCAGGAAAAGTGGCAGTGTCAATGAGCCCTAGGAACAGTGTATTCAAGTTAGAGAAAAAGAAATTCTACCTAAGCATTTGAAAGAATTGTAAGAGCTATTAGTGCAGTGGTTCTCAACCTGTGGGTCCCCATGTGTTTTG